AGCTATGGTTTACTATGTACAAGGCATCAGGTAAGCGGTTTTACTATGACAAGGCATCAGGTAAGTGGTTTTACTATGACAAGGCATCAGGTAAGAGGTTTTACTACAACAAGGCATCAGGTAAGCGGTTTTACTATGACAAGGCATCAGGTAAGCGGTTTTACTATGACAAGGCATCAGGTAAGAGGTTTTACTACAACAAGGCATCAGGTAAGCGGTTTTACTACGACAAGGCATCAGGTAAGCGGTTTTACTACGACAAGGCATCAGGTAAGCAGTTTTACTACGACAAGGCATCAGGTAAGCGGTTTTACAAGGACAAGACATCAGGTAAGCGGTTTTACTAGGACAAGACATCAGGTAAGCGGTTTTACTATGACAAGGATCAGGTAAGCGGTTTTACTACGACAAGGGATCAGGTAAGCGGTTTTACTACGACAAGGGATCAGGTAAGCGGTTTTACTACGACAAGGGATCAGGTAAGCGGTTTTACTACGACAAGGGATCAGGTAAGCAATTTTACTACGACAAGGCATCAGGTAAGCGGTTTTACTACGACAAGGCATCAGGTAAGCGGTTTTACTATGGCAAGGCATCAGGTGTACAGTTTTACTATGAAAAGGCATCAGGTAAGCGGTTTTACTATGACAAGGCATCAGGTGTACAGTTTTACTATGAAAAGGCATCAGGTGTACAGTTTTACTATGAAAAGGCATCAGGTAAGTGTAGTCAAGTTCAGCAAATACAGTGGACATTAGCAAAATCCTCATTTATTGTTAATTTTATTAGATTCAAACTATGCACACTAGTAAAAGGACATTTTATTTATTGAAAATAAACTATATTTATTAGATATAAATTGATCTTGACCAAAAATATTGTGAGATAGAATCATAGTATTTAGGTCCCCCTGTGGGACAGTGGTAAGTCTTCAGACTTACAACACTAAAATCAGGGGTTCGATTCCCCTCAGTGGACACAAGAAATAGCCCAATGTGGCTTTACTATAAGAAAAACACCCACATGGTATTTAGCCAGACAAAGGTAATGGTGGTGCCATTTTGAAATGTGAATTCACCAATGAAACTCTGTCATTTATTGCTGTGTTTTTATGATTTACAGATGGAAATGGTGACTACTGTAATTGGGCAAAATAACGTATTAAAACAAATATGTTAAGGAACATCAATAGAGTTGCAACTGATTAGATTTATAAAATTGAACTTTCTCATCAACAATGGAAAAAAAAATAAATTCTAAAATCATATATAGTTTTAATGTTTTTCACAACAGGTCCCATGACAAAATTTTGAAGATTTCACAACTTGAAAAATAATAAAAATATTAAATCATATAAATTCTTTAAAACAGAAACTAGGTATCATTTAGTAAGTTTGTCCTAATTTATTTACTGTTTGGTTAAATATTTGCACTGAGAGAAGGGTAAAAATAAATCTGAGGATATCAATGACAGAAAGACTTAAAATCTTTTAAAAGTGATGGAATTTGTAAAAATAGTATTCATAATTCTTAAGAATAATCTAGAAATACTGACAGTTTGAAGTAATATTGATTTCTTATAATTTTGTTAATTTGATAAAATCATATGAAAACATTAAAAATAAGTATTTATGATTGTAGAAGATGGTAATTACATATAATCATCATGAAAAATTAATATCAGCTGGAAGTATCAGTGTTTGAAGTAGTGATTACTTACAGAAATATTGTTAATAACCTAATGCCATCTGATGGTAGTATCTGAAGTGTTTGGGCATTATTGCTCAAGCTTCAAACTGTTAGTATGAACCTAAGTTTGACTTAGTTGTAAGTGGTCATGCCTTAATACTTCAAACTGTTAGTATGAACCTAAGTTTGACTTGGTTTTGAAAGTGGTCATGTTTTAATACTTCAAACTGTTAGTATGAACCTAAGTTTGACTTAATTGTAAGCGATCATACCTTAATACTTCAAACTGTTAGTATAAACCTAAGTTTGACTTAGTTGTAAGTGGTCATACCTTAATACACTGCTGGTGAGTAGCTAACTGCTGACTTTAAAGTTGATCATAAAGTAGTCCTTTGACTTCAGTTTTTGTTTTGTTCAAATTTACTTTGAAAATAGAAACAAAGAATGACTGAAGCTATGGGAGCTAACTTAGTCAATTAAAGCCAATTCAATAAACAATAAAGTAATAAACCTCTCTATTTAGTCAATACCTTGAAAACCTCTTTAATGTATGAGATTTTACATGAGGAAGTGAAAGGATAAAAACAGTAACGTTATGAAATCTGTATGTTTGTTGCCACTGTTAAAAAAACTTGTTGATGAAGATTTATTTTAACTTTTAATTTATGTAGTTGTGTTTATAATCAGCTTTGTAATATATGAATAAATTACTGTTAGCTAAAATAGTAGTTGTTAGTTAAGAAAAATTGTACATTACAGCGTTGCCCCTTGGAACAAGTAGTTCTGATGGCCAAGAAACTGGGCATGGAAGAGCCAAAAGCTGTCCTGGCTCTTGCCTTGGAGCCACCCAACCTGGAAGACATAGAGAGAGCAATTTTAGTTTTAAAAGAGGTATTTAACTCTCTTGGAAATGTAATATTATAACCTTGATCTTACATAATAGGAAAGTCTTTCTCATAGTTTTACTGTCAGTTTTAGTAAACACCATTTCTCACTCTTTTGATAGAAAACTATCATCTTAATTCTTTAAAGACGTATGTCTAAACCACGCAAGAAATTGTACAGGTAGCTGCTTTTCAAGGATTTTAAGTTGGGTACTAAATACTTCTGTTGGTTTCCTAGTCTTGTTCATCATGGATTAGATATTAAAAATTGGTCCCCGACTGTCTTTCATCATGGATTAGATATTAAAAATTGGTCCCCGACTGTCTTTCATCATGGATTAGATATTCCTGTTGCTTCCCTAGTATCTTTCACCATGGATTAGATATTCCTGTTACTTCCCTAGTATATTTAATAATGGATTAGATATTCCTGTTGGCTTCCCTAGTATATTTAATAATGGATTAGATATTCCTGTTGCTTCCCTAGTATATTTAATAATGGATTAGATATTCCTGTTGCTTCCCTAGTATCTTTCATAATGGATTAGATATTCCTGTTGCTTCCCTAGTATATTTAATAATGGATTAGATATTCCTGTTGCTTCCCTAGTATATTTAATAATGGATTAGATATTCCTGTTGCTTCCTTAGTATTTTTCACCATGGATTAGATATTCCTGTTGATTCACTAGTATCTTTCACCATAGATTAGATATTCCTGTTGATTCACTAGTATCTTTCACCATAGATTAGATATTCCTGTTGATTCACTAGTATCTTTCACCATAGATTAGATATTCCTGTTGGTTCCCTAGTGATACTCTCAAAGTATTATTCAATCGGTTAGTTGCTCAAAACATTATATTATTGATTTGCTATTCCCATTGGCTTTACAGAGTATAATTTACTGAGTTAGATTTTTCTTGGTTGTTGCTCAATTTATTATAGTTAGTTTCCTATATTTTGTAAGTTTCTTGTTGTTTTTTATATGTCATAGCTTGGTTTTCTTAGTCTTTAGAAGTCTATGTTTTAATAAGACTTGTGCTGTGATATTTTATCGAGGTTGTAAATGTCATAGCTTGAGTTTCATAGTTTTCAGAAGTCTGTGTTTTAATGACTTGTGCTGTGATGTTTTATCTTGTTTTTAAATGTCATAGCTTGAGTTTTCTAGTTTTCAGAAGTCTGTGTTTTAATGACTTGTGCTGTTCTTTAACCTTAAATATATAAGAGCAAAAGCTTTTCAATTGCTAAAGAACTTCCTTAAGTGCATTTCCACTATCTTTTTTTTTATAAAAACAACATTGGCTGTCATTAATCTTTACTTAAAATTTTTCTTGTAGGTAAATGCCCTTTCCACTGTTTCTGAGGGACATGTGACTCCGTATGATGGAGACTTGACATTTATTGGTTCAGTAATGGCTTTGTTACCATTGGATGTGAGACTGAGCAGGTTGATCTTGTTGGGTCATGTTTTTGGCTGCTTAAAACAATGCATTATTATAGGTAATTGTGTATAACATAGAATGCTTATCTAGTGAAAGTCTGATTACTAACCCTCACGCTATGGGTCTTTCTATGGTTAGGAGTCAGAGGGCATGTCATCAAGTTTGTTGACTTGCATTCAAAATTTTATTGAACTACTATTTTGTTAATGTATGTCAATAAGTTTGGTATCACACTGTAGATTATAATTCAAATTTTAGTACATTATACATTAGTTAATTTCTTAATCTCAAAGTAAATATAAAAAAGAAATCCTAAATATAAATTTTTGGGTGTCATGTGATATATTTGGTCAGATTACATTTTATGACACTCATAATACAATGTCTGTAGTTTCTTATAAATTAGAAACTCAAATTACTGATATTGACAAGCTAGAATATAAAGTAAGAACCCGTACCTTTTCTATTGGTTGAGATATTATTACATCTATTACAGTGGCTCTGTCTCCCTCTTCCAATTTTGGAAATGCTTCTTTACATATGCTTACTCTTTGTTATGAATTTATAATCAATCGAAAACTCAGGTTTTTCTCCACATGGTTTTCTCAGTCTTTCTAAAGTGTCTAGCACCAGAAACACATGTTTTTAGTTGGAAGCTCGAAGAGTAGAGGTAAGAAGAAATGGTGATCAGATATTCATTATGTCAGAAAAACAAGCAGGTTCAAGAAGTCTTGATACAAAATGATAAAAACTCTATAACCTGAGCATTTTTGAAAGGTGGACCTTTCTTCTTTAGGGGCAAATCAGATATGATATTCTTTCAGACTACGGCTTAGTTACAAAGCCTGATAAAAACAACGGAATTCTGTGGTATTGATATATTAATTTATAATTTTTTATTTCAAAATGCATATGTAAAACCTAGAAACATTTTGTCTTACATCCTCCATGTACAAAATTCAACAAGGCTTAGTAGTTTATGGCAAGGGAGTACAAATTTTATAACATTAACTATTATAAGTAGTAGAAATCATTGTTTTCTATATTTCTTTATTTACTGTTCTATGTTTTAAGAAAAATAACTGAAATTTAAGAATCTATTTGTAAATAATACGAAAATATATATATAAATAAACAAAACAAGCCCTACAAAAAAGACAAATTAAGTTAAAGATGCTGCATAAATTAAAAGGATCCCCAAGGTACAGGCTGTAATGTGTGATATAAAATGTGCCCTGGGTTTTGGAGGTGACTGCAGAGATAGGACCCACATTGCAGTGGGGATACACCATCTATCAGTCTTAACCTCCATTCACCAGTTTCACATCAAGAAATTAATAAAAAATCAAATCATCAAAAGAAATACAAGTTAGGAGATAGAGATGTGGGATCACAAGCACCTCAAACAGTAAAGATTCAGTTCAAACAACACTTTAAAACCTTTACTATTGAATGCTAAGGCATTACACTTATATATATATTGGTATACTTTGGTGACAGATTTTCTTGTAGGCAGATTTTGTTAAACAAGACCGATG